TCTCATCCCCCCTGACTCACCCCCCCCATACCCTCCTCCAAAAGGGTAAGTCCTTCTCTGAGGGGACAGCAAAGCCTGGTACATTCAGCTGAGGCAGGAACAAGCCCCTCCCCCCCACATCCCGCGTGAGCCAGGAGCAGTAAGTAGCGTGTTCTACGTCAGCATCAGAGAGAAAGGCCGGCGAGCATGGAGTCCAGAATCAAACGTGCATTGACTTGTCTGTATGAGCGTTTAGAAATGGCCGTCTAAGAAACGCTGTTTTCAAAGGCAGTTGGAGAAAAGCTTTTAGTAGGGGAGAAGAAACATATGCCTACACACAGAAAGACCCTCCACAGAGCAGAGGGGGGACTTGGCAAGCCAGAGCTTGGTCCTCTCTCCGAAGGGGAGTTTTTATTTTATTATTCTAAAAACTAGATCCCTGAGAACACTTTAGCAAAATCCTTTCAAAATGGGACAAGATGTTACAAGAATAAATTTTCAGACTAGGTATAACTTGTTTTTTGTTTTTTTTTTAATTCAAGGGTTGTTTTCCTTCTGAATAAGTTATACCTTTTGCAAGTTACAAGGACTTTCAACTTAAATTTACTGACCTCTGACCCTTCCCAAGTTAGTAGTTAGTACTTTGAAATATTGCCACAGTGCAGGTGTGTGTGTGTGTGTGTGTGTGTGTGTGTGTGTGTGTGTGTATGTATAAGTGTGCACAGTAAGTAATCTCTTTGAAAAGAATTAAAAGATAATCTCTTTTCAAAGATATTTGCAGGGCCACCTCTAAAATTACCCTGTTCCACATAATGTATTTTACACTTGGTTTCTTAATGTGGAGGAACATTTGGGTCGTGTTTCTTTTAGGTAGAACTGAAATCTAATGTAGTTCATATATATTGTTTTTCTCTGTTGTGTAATTTGTGATGTCACGTCAGGTGCTATGGGCCACTTAGTTTTACTGAGAGCTACGCTAAGTTCTCACTGACAAAGACTGGTAGCTGTGTCTGCTCAGGCTCCCAGCTGATTGGTTGTCAGCCAGGCTGCTGCTGCAAGTCCAGCCTGATAACCTGCTTCCCTCCTGGAGCGGCATGGTGACAGGCGGCTCATCACTTATGTAGTAGTCAGTGAATGGCTGCTTGGTGACAGGAATAAGCCACAGTATACCCTCAAGAACTGTGTAGCCTCGTCCTGCCAGAAGGGCTGCAGGTAGAAAGGATGGTGTGAGATGGACCTCTCACACAGCTGTGAAGGTTTCCTGCTGAAAGGCCATCTTATTTCTTTATACTTCTTACGTCTCATACTAAATGCAGCCAAGCCTACAGCCAGACCTGCCAATCAAACACATTCCATTTGGAGGCTATTACCCTGCAAACCACTAGCAATGGTTTTTAAGATTTGAATAATCTGGATTAGATTCTTTTCAGCTAGGAAGGTGAAGTTCTGTTAGCAGGCGGAGTGCTGACCTGCAGCTGCTGCCTCCTTTTAGATTTGCTCTCAGCTAGGGCATGTATGGAAAACATCCGCGTCCGTTTCCAGAAGCATGCTCAGTGTTCCGGTCCTAAGCCCGTGCTGGAACATAAGTCCACAGAGCAGGGACTTGGTGCTTTTCATTACGGTGGTCCAGCATCCAGAACAGGCCTGACACACATTAGGTTCTCAGATATTTTCTATCTTAATGAAGAGATAACTTGTAAAAAAAAAAAAAAAGTGGGGGGGCAGGGAGCAAATGCTTTTAATTATAAAACAAAACTGAAATTTGTTGTTTTGCAGAAAATGTGCTCTCACTGGCCAGAGTAAGTCCTGTAAGCACAGAATTAAACTAGGGGACTCAAGCAACTATTACTATATTTCTCCTTTTTGCAGATACAGGGTAAGTGACAACACGACCATGCTGTTAAACAATGTTTTCTCTGCCGTAAAACTGACTAGTACTGACGCGTCTCCCTTCGTCCTAGATCACTTCTGTGTGTAACTTTTTCACGTACATTCGATACATTCAGCAGGGACTCGTGAAACAGCAGGATGGTGAGTGCTCTCAGTTCGTTGTGAACTTTACACTGAAGTTTAGCCGATCAGGACAAGCAGTGTGCAGAGATAAACTGTTGTACCTGGGGCCCAGTGAATTTCCCGTACAGTTCTCACAAAATGTATGGATCCTTTAGAATAGAAATGTGTCTTCCAAAAATGACGCTTTTATTTCCCTCTTGAGTTTTGAGCAGAACCAGTTTTACCTTGCTAGGGATATATGATAAGTCAACCTATAAACGTAAAGGGTGTCTGGAGCTTATTGCCTTTATCCCTTGAAAGATTAAACGGCGGCTACGTGGGAGGTTGAGACAGGAGGATAACAGATTGAAGGCCATCGAGAACTGTAGGATGAGTTCAAGGCCGGCTTAAGCAAGTTAATGGGCATCCTGCCTAAAAAAAAAAAAAAATCAAAGAAGTTTAAGAAAAAATGTTGGGATGGTGTAGCTCAGTGGTAGAGTGTTCCCTTAGCACGAGTGAAGTCCCAGGTTTGGTTGCCAGAACTGGGAGGGTGTGTGTGTGAGAATGAGGAGCAAACTCCACAGGTGGTTAGATTTCTTCTCCTGGATGGAAAGCGGAAGGGGCCAACTGTCAGTTTCCTGTGGTTTCGACTTTCACGTGTGACTTTAGAAGGCACTGAGGTGATGATTCTGAACAGAGAGAAGATCACCGCATTCTGAAGCTGCGGAAACGGATGTGCTGACTGTCATGGTCGTGTTAAGATTTCAGTGTCGCCTCCCAGGGTTGCTAACGGACTGTAACCCAGAGTCTCGACTACCCAGCGTGAAGGCTGGTGGCCTCAGGACAGCTACAGAGCACGCTTACTGAGTGCACATGGCTGTTTCAGAGCTGAGGGGAGAGCCGTCTTTTTGTATTTGACACTGGGAAATTCTCCATGTAGATTTTTATAGGTGTTGAAAATATTTCTGTACTGCAAGACTAATTCTTTTCAGTCACATACACGAGTGCAAAAAATTATGGAAAAATTTGACTGGCAAAGACTCAATTAAGTTCTTATGGCTCTGATATATGGAACTGCCATATTTATTTAGAATTGCATATAATTAATTTTAATGTATAAAGGAGGTATGGGACCAGTCTCTAATGTTGGAGCTAAAGGTTATGAAACAAAAGTAGTTTGTTAAGTGTGTAATGATTTTTATAATTTTAATAACATCTTTTGAATACCTGTTGATGGATAATATGATGCAAATTTTCTCCTTGTGACAAAGATTTGAGTGAAGTCTGAAAACAATTTGCTTCATGAAAATAAGAAGAAAATGCCTTGATTGGAGTGACAGATGTGATATTCCCACTGGTTTCTGTTATTTTTGCACTTCATGTATCTAGTATACAGCATATACCATGTGGGGCCCTTATATTTTAATTTTAAAACCTATTCATTATCTGAGCCTTGTATTAAAAAAAAAAAAGACTAGGGTCAGTTAAATCCAAGGCACAGTTTCTCAGCCTTTGTACTATAGCCTGGCCAACTTAACCCCCCAAACACAAAGACCATGCCTGACCTTATAGTCAGAATGCGTGTACAATAAAAATCTCACTTTTAGACTTTGTATAGAAGAGCCACAGGAAACTGTCTTTTTTTTTGAGACAGGGTCTCACTTTGTAGCTCTGTGTGTTCTGGAACTTGTTCTGTACAACAGACTGGCCTCAAACTCACAGAGAGCCTCCTGTCTCTACCTCTGGAGCCACCACACAGGCTCCACACTGAAGCCTTTTAATTTTGGGTTGGAAGTTGGGCCCTTTCCCCAAAGTTATCTCATTGTGTCTTGTCCTTGACGCCTGAGTAGTAATTACACGTTATGATTTACATGTCTCTTCTCTGTCTGCAGTTGACCAGATGTTTTGGGAAGTTATGCAGTTGAGGAAGGAGATGTCGTTGGCAAAGCTGGGATATTTCAAAGAGGAACTCTGACGCCCTGCATGGGGCCATGTGTGCTCCTCCCTGGACAACTGAAGAATGGCGGGACATTGTTATGGTTAATATTTATTTCCGAGGAGAGGACCCAAGACTGACGTCCTCTTGCACATCACACTAAGAAGCGCTGTGATTTCTTTGAGAGCGACTGAGCTGTACTTACTTATCCCTTAATGGAACACACTATGAAGAGTTGCAGGTGTGCTAGTGATGGTAACTCAACACTGCAAATCAAAAGCACCAAATAAATATCAGACTGAGTGTGTGTCTCTTCCTTAGCTCTGACTTGACAAGAGAGTTGCAGATGGCAGTAGGAGTTTCCACATTGTACCCTGTGGGAAGCAAGGAAGGCGCTGTGTGAACAGGACTCCGTGTGTGTCTGTGTGTCTGTTGACATTGAAACACAGGTTTTAATTTGTTTTGTTTTCCACCGTGAGGTTTTTCTTTTATTAATTAAATGTTTTTTCTGGCCCGATAACGTTTTCCCCACCCTCTCTCCCCTCCTCCCCCACTCCACCCCCCTCTCCACTCCTCCTTTGCAGAAAGGTTTTTACTGAGGTTTGGAAGCTTGCCGTAACCCAGTGAATTCCTTTATTGTAGTGATTTGTCAAGTAGAAAATGAAGAGCCAAGAGAGCTTAACCCTAGAGGAGCATTCTCAAGCAACCTGATGTAAGGGTTCACGTTACGCATTGAGCACTATCATGGAATCAAAGGCTATTAAATAAACAAACAGTGTCATGGTCTAAAAGAACGGTATCTGCCAGTTCTGAGGTATCGGGCAACCACTTGATCTCTAAGTTTTAACTAAAGCCGACAGGAAGAAACTACTAACGTAATTCCCGCCAGTAAAAGAGGTTCATGATGGAGACAAAGTGTAGGAAAGGAGACCTCCTCTTCATCGTCTCCAGTGAGAACACTACTGCTCACAGCTTTGGAGAAAAGCCTTGGACTCTGAGATGTTTCCTACTCCTACACTCAGCTCTGAAACAAAAAGACTTGCTTTATTGATTGTGTGTGTGTGTGTGTGTGTGTGTGTGTGAATGTTTACATGCGTGTATGTGCATCACACTCGTGCCTGGTGCACACAGAGGCCAGAAGAGGGAGTCAGGCCTGGAACTGGAGTTGCCGACAGTCGTGAGCTGCCAGGTGGGCACTGGGAACTGAACTTAGGTTCTCTGCAAGAGCCTCGAGCCATCTCTCCAGCCCTTCCTTCTTGCTTTATAGGTAAATAAGATTGCCCTGTGATTAAACCTCCACACCCTAAAAAGAAGGTTTTTACGGTTTATGTATTATGTGGGGGCAAGCCTTTGCATTGGAGGTACCTGACTGCTTTTGGGAATCTGTTCTCTCCTCCCCCTGTATGGTTTCCAGTGATCAACAAACTCAGGACCTCAAGCTTGGTGACAGCCCCTGTACCTGGCGGGCCTTTTCTCTGGTGGAGATCTCCACACCCTGATCACTGTATGTTGATTGTAATTAAACAATTTAATTGTTTCTAGAAAAAAAAAAAGAGAGGAGAGAGGCAGTGCTTCCCAACTAATGCTGTGACCCTTTAATACAGTCCCTCATGTTGTGGTGACCCCCGACCATAAAACTGTTTTCATTGCCACTTCAAAAACCTCGGGGGTCTCGACCCATGGGTTGAGAACCTCTACTCTGCTTCCTCATTCATTCTTCCATACTTATTAGGAAGATAAGATGCCACTTCAGACCCACAAGACTTTTTGTCTGATAATACTAAAAATGGAAACCAATGTTTGTTGACTTATCTTAGAAACTTCCATTTTCTTACCCTTCAAAAACAAATTCATAAAGTATCTGCTGCCATGTAACACAGAGAACTGACCCAGGGAGGCTAAAGAGTTGCCCAAGGTTTATAGAAATACAACAACAAATTTTTTTTTGTGTATTGATCTTGCATGCTGCAACCTGGAAACAGTCGCTTGTTAATTATAGATGCTTTGTTTATGCGGGTGTTAGGGGCATTCGTGTCCAAATGGGTGTGAGTGCATATGTGCGTGTGGAGGCCAGGGGTCAAATTGGGGTGTCATTCATTAAGAGCCATCGGTCTTGTTTTTTGATACAAGGTCTCTCACTGGGACCTGGTGTTTCACCCAGGGGTCATCCTGTGTCCTTCTCCTTGGCTCTGGGATTACAAATGGGTACCCCCTTTCCTGACTTTTTAATGTGGGCACTGAGGGTCACTTTCAGGTCCTCAAGCTTGTGTCATGATCACTTTTCCGACTGAGCCATCCCCCTGTAGTAACTTAAAAAAGAATTCACTGGCTTTTCTACAAAAGTGGTTGTCTTAGTGACTTAGTTTGTTGCTGTGATAAAATCCTTGAGGAAAGGAACTGAAGGAAGGGTTTCCCTTGACTCAAGATTGGAGGAGACACTCAGTCCATCACAGTAAGGAAGTCAGGTCCGCAGGAGCATTAGGCTGGTGCTCACACTGCATCCTCAGTCAGGAAGAGAGACAGGGGAATGCTGGTGTTGAGCTTGCTCTATTTTATTCAGTCTAGGACCCCATCCCATGGACTGGGACACACTTAGGGTGTTCTTCCCACTACTGGACGCCTCCCCATGGACTGGTACCCTCTATATTTATAGTGTCCATCTCAGTTAGCTTAATCTGGATAAACCCTCCTAGAGATGCCCTGAGTTTTATTCCCACACCGATTCCTAATCCTATCAAGTTGACGAGTTTAACCATCACAGTGTTCAAGCAGTCTACAATTAAGAAAGATTTCCTTTTTTTTCTTTCCATTTGGATACACTTTTCTTTTCTCTTGCCACATTAGCTGTGGACTACCACATACAGCACACAACTCTCTCTAGAAATGGTAAGAACGGGCAGCGTGGTCAATGTTCAGAGGCAAGCGTATTGTCTCTCATCACAATGAAATTGTTATCTCCTGATGCTTCTAGGTCCCCTTTACTGGGTTGAAGAAACTCTCCTCTGTACCTGGTTCACTGAGTAAACAATTAGAAAGGGCAGATGTAGGATTTCAACTCAGTCTCTCAATCTTCAAAGCCTGGGCATTCAGCCCTTCTAGCACCAGAAATGAGCCCTCTTCTTTAATTTATTGACAGCTCACTTTACAAAGAGCCACTCCCCACACCCCTGAGAATATATGTATTTTTTTTTTTTTTTTAACGAGGCAATGGAAAGGAACAGATTTCTCAAAGGCTGTTTCACCAGAGGCTTGATGAATACTCTGCATGGCTCTTCTGTGCAGGCTCTCATTCCTCATCAGCTAGACTCTTCATTAATTTCATGTAAGTGGTGTAATTAAAGTAACTGTTAATTGGTGTATTGCTAAGGTGCCATTATGGTATGTGACAAGCCTTAATTAGCATGTGGTCTGGCACTCAATGTTCTCAGCGAATCACTCGGAAATAGAGATTCTCTCAAGAGCGGCACTTCACATGAACGGAAAGGTAGCGCAGGAGTTTCAGGGCGTTAGAGAAAAGGAGGACAATCGTTTCTAGCATGCTTTCCGATGGAGGTGGGACTCTGCAGCACCTTCAGAGAAAGATGGACAGGCCTGGAGAGTCTGTGCTCCTCTCTACTCACTGAATGATATACTGGGTGATGGTACCTCCTATTATCTCAGGAAACACGCACAGCTCCAGCCAAGGTGCCTGTTCTGGAAACTGAATGACCGCCACTGTTACGGAGACCTTCCCACCTCTTCTACCTGGAATGCCTTAGGAGACTGCTGCCTTGGTTGAGATCCAGGAATCAATTTTTATTGTTGTATTTTTTTTTTCTTGCTCCCAGTCTTGATTGAATCCATGCACTGTACATGGTAAGCAAGTCCTCTGCCTCTAAGGTGTATCCCCAGCTGCCACGGGACTTTTTATTTTGAGATAGGGTCTCACTGAGTTGCCCAGACTAGCCTTGAACTCATGATCTGAGACTTTCCATCCTCCTGCCTCAGCTCCCTGAGCAGCTAAGATCACGGGCCTATGCCGACAGACCCAGAGGTCATTCCTTTCCTACATCACATCAGTGTGATTGTTTTTTATCACTAATAAATGCTTCCTGGGGGGAGTGCTCTATGTGTCTAAGCCTTTGAGGAGATGGGAAGAGCAGTGTGGCCTCACTCTATCCTTGAGACGTTCAAGGGGGGTCCTGAACTCGGGCATTCACCCAGCAGTTGCGCTTGGTTGTACCAGGTGTTACCATGTGCAACAGCAACCGATTTGTGCCATCCGTGTACCCACAGATGCTGCTGGCCTTGAGAAGTGTCTCTCCAAAACCTGTGCCAACATTTTGCAATGCTAATCACCAGGCTGTTGAGATGAATCACCAGTTTCCAATGGTGACATCCAAATGAGCGGTGGGGTGGAATGTGGTAGAGAGAATATTGCTTTAGAACTGTCCTTAGCTGTGTGAGTCTAGACCAATCAATTTCCCTCTTGGATCCAAGTTAACTCCCTGCCAAAATGGGAATGAAACTAAGCGACATGTTTAGATCAGTGCATGGCTCAAATGATACAGTTTAGCTGGAGTTTAGGTCAATGAGAAAGCAAATGTTATACATATACAAGGCCATGGGTTCAGTCCCCAACACCAAAACAATATCTTTTAAATATAAATGGATTCTATTACAAATGCTATTCAAATCCATCAGTATAATGTGTTATTTTCTTATGAGGTTATTCACTTTTATTTCTTTAGTTACTAATTTGAAATTTTCCTTGACATCACTGGAGATAACACACCACATAATTATTACTTCCTCTATTCTAAAACGTTTGCCTAGGTTTACTTCCACAATTCAGGTTACCGTTAAGAGCTAACAGCTCTGTTGCTCAGGAAGAAAAGTCTTTCAGACAAAATTTCAGCAGACTTCCCACGGATCTCCATGGGATACAGATGTCCAGTGAGCACTAATATAATCCTGTTAACCAACTCAGATCAGGTGAGTTAGCCAGCATTTTTCACTTGGTGAATGTCACTCTACCATTTCTAGGGCAAAGCCAACTTTTCCTTAGCTTACAAAGTTTCTAAAGAGTTCTCTTTTACTATGTTTAACTATGTGTATGTTTGGAGACAGGGGCGTGTACATTCTAGGGCAGGTACCCATAAAGCCAACAGAGCTGTTGGATCACCTAGAGTTGTGGGCAGTTCTGAGCCATCTGATGTGAGTGCTAAGAACTGAGCCCTGGTCCCCTGGGAGAACAGCAGGCGCTCTTAATCACCAAGACGTTTCTCTAGTTCCCACAAAGTTTCCACTTAAATTCAATTTTA